TTAGACTGAAAATTGTAAATCGCTGTCTATTACGTGTTTATTTGTAAAGAATTTACTTTGCATTGAATTGAATTTTAAAATGTTCTCCGTTTACACCTGTACTCTTCTGGTATAATTTATCATTTTAATAATGTTTTATTGATGTATAATATTGATTTTAAATTAAAAAGGTAAGAGTTCCTAGTGATCATGATATATAGTATGATAAATCATGAATACATTTTCTCGATTTTCTATCATGAAGGTTCGTGGATCTCAAAATAGAAAACAAATGAATATATAAATCATTTTCCCTTTCGCATTTACTTTACGAGATGGTGCAACTATAAATACTATTTGATAGAGTGACCAGAGTTGCGTCCCTTTTTCTGCAGGAATACAAGTGTTTGTGACCATAAAGGGACAACACTCGGTCATGTCTCGCGAATAAACCACATCTTTTGATATTTGCGTGGCCAAAATAAACTTATTGCTAAAATATTGTTGAGAGGAAAGAGATAAGACTAAGGTGTCTTCAGAGTCAGGTTACCAATATGACGTTCATGGTAGTTACTTGTTTGTATATATCGTTATTTATCGTAACACCCATTATCAGCAGTATGCGGTAGAACATTCGTGTTTACCTATAATATACATGTGTTAATATTGTAACTATATTTTCGTTATTTTATTTAAACATAAGTAGCAATAGGATTGGGCACGAGTTTTACAACTTCTATAAAGCCCTTTCCACACAGTTTCATTGTGTTAGTTGCACCAGTGATTGTAACTAATCAAATTATACACTGATTTTATTTTTAATTTGTATTACAATGACAGGTTACAAGTGTTATTTATTATCATATAATGACATACGAACTATTTACTTATATTGTAATGTATATGTAAAGGGCACGTTTACTGACAAACACAACACATACAAAAATCGAAACGATTTTTCGTTAAAACGAAATAGTATTTCGGAAGAAGTAGTAAAATAAATAAGAAGCATGTTCGTGTGTGGACGACGTATGTAAAACGACAGGTGTGTAATTGTAGTTTTATAAGTCAATAACAATATAAGATATTGTTCATACAACTGCAAATTCCACTGACATTAAAGTACAACATGTAAAGAATTTATTATAATTACAGCTATTGTCTTCTCTGATAAAGGCATTGTTCTGTGACATAATTACAGAACTATTTAGTAAATAACGTAATTAAAACAACTGTTGACTGTTGTATATAACCAAATTATGTGCTAATAGATATATATAGTCTGTTGTAATGTAATCTACCGGGGTGTTATGAGATGTGTCCTCTGTAATAGTACCATATATACCCAGCTGACACATATATATATAAAGGTAATATACATACTAAAAGTAGTACAAGCTATGTACAGGACTCAGAACAGGCCTTCCTGGTAAAACTGTATTTAATTTAACGCTATAGTAAAGGCAGACAGTTCTTAAAGTCCTCTATTCAAAGATGCTGCAAATTGAATTTTTAAAAATACCTTCAAAGACGGTCTTTTATAAGCAACACACTTCAATTTCATTTCCAAAAAGAATGTAAAGTGAGACGTCTCTCTACACTGAAATAGTGAATGTGATGTGAGACGTCTCTCTACACTGTACTACTGAATGTTATGTGAGACGTATCTCTACACTGTACTACTGAATGTGATGTGAGACGTCTCTAAACACTGTAATACTGAATGTAATGTGAGACATCTGTCTACACTGTACTACTGAATGTAATGTGAGACGTCTCTCTATACTGTACTACTGAATGTAATGTGAGACCTCTCTCTACACTGTACTACTGAATGTAATGTGAGACGTATCTCTACACTGTACTACTGAATGTAATGTGAGACGTCTCTCTACACTGTACTACTGAATGTTATGTGAGACGTCTCTCTACACTGTACTACTGAATGTAATGTGAGACGTCTCTCTACACTGTACTACTGAATGTAATGTGAGACGTCTCTCTACACTGTACTACTGAATGTGATGTGAGACGTCTCTCTACACTCTACTACTGAATGTGATGTGAGACGTCTCTATACACTGTACTACTGAATGTAATGTGAGACGTCTCTCTACACTGTACTACTGAATGTAATGTGAGACGACTCTCTACACTGTACTACTGAATGTAATGTGAGACGTCTCTCTACACTGTACTACTGAATGTAATGTGAGACCTCTCTCTACACTGTACTACTGAATGTAATGTGAGACGTCTCTCTACACTGTACTACTGAATGTAATGTGAGACCTCTCTCTACACTGTACTATTGAATGTAATGTGAGACGTCTCTACACTGTACTACTGAATGTAATGTGAGACGACTCTCTACACTGTACTACTGAATGTAATGTGAGACGTCTCTCTACACTGTACTACTGAATGTAATGTGAGACGTCTCTCTACACTGTACTACTGAATGTAATGTGAGACGACTCTCTACACTGTACTACTGAATGTAATGTGAGACGTCTCTCTACACTGTACTACTGAATGTAATGTGAGACGTCTCTACACTGTACTATTGAATGTAATGTGAGACGTCTCTACACTGTACTACTGAATGTAATGTGAGACGACTATCTACACTGTACTACTGAATGTAATGTGAGACGTCTCTCTACACTGTACTACTGAATGTAATGTGAGACGTCTCTCTACACTGTACTACTGAATGTAATGTGAGACGTCTCTCTACACTGTACTACTGAATGTAATGTGAGACGTCTCTCTACACTGTACTACTGAATGTAATGTGAGACGACTCTCTACACTGTACTACTGAATGTAATGTGAGACGTCTCTCTACACTGTACTGAATGTAATGTGAGACGACTCTCTACACAGTACTACTGAATGTAATGTGAGACGTCTCTACACTGTACTGATTGTAATGTGAGACGACTCTCTACACAGTACTACTGAATGTAATGTGAGACGTCTCTCTACACTGTACTACTGAATGTAATGTGAGACGTCTCTCTACACTGTACTACTGAATGTAATGTGAGACGTCTCTACACTGTACTACTGAATGTAATGTGAGACGTCTCTACACTGTACTACTGAATGTAATGTGAGACGTCTCTACACTGTACTATTGAATGTAATGTGAGACGTCTCTACACTGTACTACTGAATGTAATGTGAGACGTCTCTCTACACTGTACTACTGAATGTAATGTGAGACGTCTCTACACTGTACTGAATGTAATGTGAGACGACTCTCTACACAGTACTACTGAATGTAATGTGAGACGTCTCTCTACACTGTACTACTGAATGTGATGTGAGACGTCTCTACACTGTACTATTGAATGTAATGTGAGACGTCTCTACACTGTACTACTGAATGTAATGTGAGACGTCTCTACACTGTACTACTGAATGTAATGTGAGACGACTCTCTACACTGTACTACTGAATGTAATGTGAGACGTCTCTACACTGTACTACTGAATGTAATGTGAGACGTCTCTACACTGTACTACTGAATGTAATGTGAGACGTCTCTACACTGTACTACTGAATGTAATGTGAGACGTCTCTACACTGTACTACTGAATGTAATGTGAGACGTCTCTCTACACTGTACTACTGAATGTAATGTGAGACGACTCTCTACACTGTACTACTGAATGTAATGTGAGACGTCTCTACACTGTACTACTGAATGTAATGTGAGACGTCTCTCTACACTGTACTACTGAATGTAATGTGAGACGTCTCTCTACACTGTACTACTGAATGTAATGTGAGACGTCTCTCTACACTGTACTACTGAATGTAATGTGAGACGTCTCTACACTGTACTACTGAATGTAATGTGAGACGTCTCTACACTGTACTACTGAATGTAATGTGAGACGTCTCTACACTGTACTACTGAATGTAATGTGAGACGTCTCTACACTGTACTACTGAATGTAATGTGAGACGTCTCTACACTGTACTACTGAATGTAATGTGGGACGTCTCTACACTGTACACTGTACTACTGAATGTAATGTGAGACGTCTCTCTACACTGTACTACTGAATGTTATGTGAGACGTCTCTCTACACTGTACTACTGAATGTAATGTGAGACGTCTCTACACTGTACTACTGAATGTGATGTGAGACGTCTCTACACTGTACTGAATGTAACATGAGATAACTTTTGGTGTGGTTGTAATTATATATTTTACGGTTTTGCATATTGTAAATTTGTTTTGAATAGATATTTACTGTACTGACGAAAAATAGGTAAAAACTAATAAACATTTATTGAACTGTTTTCATTTTGATGTTACGAATTTGTGTTTTTTTCTCGATCACCTCATGTTTTACTAGAAGTTACAAATCTAAAGATGATTATGGTTGACCATTGTATCTATCGTTTACCACTGTATCTGATCAACTCATTAATGTTTATACCGTATCTACACAGGTACACCGGTACAGTGTAGTATATAACTGTACCAATAAAACATATACAATGTACTCGGTTCATACCTCACGGTTTGTAGATAGGTGTTATACTTAAAATGTAAAACTGACCTGACTGAAATTTCATCCGCTTATTGTGTCATTTAAAATCTAAACCGTCGAGCTCGAACGGGTTTCAATAGTGTTTAGTCCTCAGTATTCCCACTGCCGCGACCCCACAAACGTAGATATAGATTTTGAAACCATATATCTCTCAAGCATTTATCTATATTAGGACTAATATACAGAAAGTATGGGCACCATCAATGGAAGCATTGACAATATTACCGATTTGTTGTTCTAGAGAGCCTCACTGTTCAAACAGAATGCCTGTTACAGCTTTTAATGTACACCTATTGTAGTTAAATCCTTTGAAGAGGCAGCCATGTTGGAATTTGTGCGTCCTTGGTAACCCGCGACGGGGCATAGATAGCGGATAGTTGTCAGTGTATCGGTGTTACAGAAGAGAAGGCACAATGTAACACAGGCGGGAGATATATATAATAAGAGATGAAGATGAATGGCGTTTCAGATGACGGTATGTAATTATTTACATATTAATTTTATGCATTCAGAAAAAAGTTGTAATAATGTATTAAAGTGTATTAGGAAAGTTTGTGAAATTCGATTAATAATGTTTATGATTACGATGTTTAATTAAACCATTACATTAATTACTTTGCTTTTGTTAATATGTTTACTAGATATACGAATTCATGGCATGACAGGATTATGAGAGTAATCAATTATTTACAATATACAGTATATTAAGCTCATTCTAATATTTTAATTTTTTATATTCTTGAAATGAAATTATAAACTGATATTAATATATGTGTGTTCATGTGCATTACTTAATTATTTGTTTAAACAATAATTTAGGTTACATTTTTTTTAAAAATAGAATTTAATCACAAATATACATTAGCATCTTCAAAACGTTTCACCTATTTTGTGAAATCTTTCAGAGGCATGCTGAAACATATATAAACATTAAACTCTTAAATAACCAACATTAAATTGAAATTCAATTTAGATTTATTTGAGCCGAAGTACAGTTGGATTTTGAAATATCTCATTAGGTGATAGAAGATGATAAATGATGACAGCAACGCAAGGTTTTCATTAAAGATAAATGTCGATGATAAGTCCTAGATGATTTATCTAATGATATTCGTGAATTTTGTGAAAAGCATGAAATTACAGACTATATACTAATCAAAATCCCAGTTAAATCAGATTATGTCAGGTGCCCGATATAGTTAATGCATTGTTGTGTCGCCATGCTTTGTTTTATGTAAATGACAAAAGTTACATTAGAAGTAAATAAGGGATGCGGACAACTAAAACTCTCGTATGTTATGTTTGGACAGAATTTTTTTCTGACTGTCATTTCATATTAATGATGATTCAATATACACTGCTGGTTTACTTGATAGATTAGTTAAGTATAAAAATATACAATATCAGACGTGTGTGTAAATCCGTTATCTACCACGTTATTTGAACCGTTAATCATGTCTGAATTGATTGATTAATTGACTAATTCATGATAAATCGGAGCGGCGAAAAAAAACCGAAGCTACTTAAAATAGTCGTTTTAAGTTGTAGACAATTGTATAAAAATGTAAAAAATGTAGATGATAAGAGTTAGGAAACAACGAAAAGTGTAATTGCCGTTTGATAAGTAAATGTGTGCATTACCCATCCGTCATTTACACGCTAATTATCACAAAATTGTCGTTAATGTTAGGCACGAGTTTATCGAGAATAAATCCGTGATTGGTATTGAGATAGGTTTAGAGTATATAATATACAGAACACAGGCCGTCCAATCTCCGGATCATTCACATTTAAATGTACAATAAAACTATACAAACAAACGTTATTGCACATTTTTATTTACAATACCTCCGAGGGTGCAAGGAGAACACTTATAGAAAAGCTGTATATTGACAAATGTAACACAGACCAAATATACCATGACAAACGTGGAATCTAAATTATAAAACGATCTAGTTGACGAGTTTGAAATACCTTTTGCGTTACGTATGTTATTTCATTATTAACACACTTTAAACTCCTTGAACATATACCATTGTATATCGGTATTATCGCAACAGGGCGAGTCCATGATCAAAAGAGTTGAGACTAACAGTTCATCTAGATCTGTTGTTGACTTTTCGCCATTACTGGTTAAGTGGTGTATTGTACAGAAGTTTGTTTATGGAGATCGTGTCCAACCATCTTTTAAATTAATCTCCGGTTTGTAATATTTACATCATAAACTGATCACTATTACCGTACAACCTCAATAAACACCTCTTCGTCTTTTAAATTGTATTTCTACTGGTTCGATTTTATCGAAAACTCATGATAAACACGTTATTGATTTTTATAGTTATTTAGTACTGACAATAAAATGTATTCCTGTTTAACTGTAAACCAATACCGTCACACTCGTTAGCCATCCTAGTTAATGTATTGTTATGGTCCAGTCATTCCGAGCCTGAAGCACAGGGTGACGGTGTCGTTGAAACTGGAATGAAAACCAATGCAGGTTAATATTGAAGATGAACATCTCCTGATGGTTCGAAGTTTCAACCAATCCTTGTGTATGATATAGACAGCCCCTGTGTTCAGCTAATAGTTCTGTGGTTCCCACGTTTGGACTGACAGTATTTAATACCTGACGGTCCGGAAAAAATAATCTGACTGACTTGATTACAGATTAATGTAAATCAAGGTGTAGTGTGATATACTCTTGTAGCCCGGTGTTTGTCATTGTGACAAATTATACCGAAATCAACTTCTAGGTACCATTTAAAAGCCACCAGCAATGGACTCTGTATAGTTGATAGAATACTACTGACTACATTCTAAACGTTGGCAGACATTGAATATATGTACGCGATCCTCCAAACCTGACATCTGTATACAAACATTTATTATTCACGTTTGAATAAAATTTTCTTGATGAATGTCGCTCAATGATATAGGGATTGACATATTATAATACACTCTAAACATTTTGTTTACTTAATGAAGTTGTGTGCTGTGCATTGGTTTAAATAAGAGAATATCCAAACAAGGCAAAATTGTGTACGGTAATGGAAAGTCGACATCGACGAAGGTCGAGTTATCAAATACAAGTGTCGTCATAAAGAAAGTTTTTTCCCACAATTCGTAAAACTCGTATGGTGCACCCTCATTATGCCAAATGTCAAACACTGCTTATCGAAATGAAAATTGCTTTTCAGAGAAATCTTTTCTGTCTGTTTGTTGAATGTCTAACGTTATCACATGTTCGTAATCAACCCATATCACTATTGATCTCCGGGACAATTCGTTTCTAAACAGATTTATAAAAACATGTGGGTGTTTTATATTTTTTAATAAAAAATAGTTTTTGTATGACAGTTTTATCAGTGCACTGGCGAGGCTGCTAAAGTTGGTCGATATAAGTCTGCTTTAGTTTGAAATGTTTGCATACGTGTGTGAATGAGTTTACCCTATTGACTTTCTAATGCGTGAAGGAAGTCAATAAATGTGTAAGGATACTACTGTTGGTGCTAAACTCGGACCTTATCGCGGTATTAAAACGGTGCGTGTAGGTATTCTACAACGCAGAACAGTATGGCGGTTTGGGATATTGTTGAAGTCCAACTTTGTCGTGACTTGGTCACTACCAGGAAGTACTCTTTGAGGGTCTAAGAATATATAGAGGATAACAGATCGTGCCGAAAAACTCGTCGAGATGTTGTCCGAAAGGGTACAAACAAACAATTCGACTGTGATTTTTGCGACAGATGGCGTCGACGGACACTGTAAGTAGTAGTTAGCTTACTAGCTTTGATACACAGATATGCGGAAGGACGGAATAAAACAGTCGTCTGGAAGTAAGGTGGGCGGGGCGAATAATCGAAAATTAACTAGATACTTGATGAGCACAATAGACTTGACCAAGCGCGAATGATTAAATTAATGTTTTTATTTACTTGACGCAAATGAATAAACCAGATAAACTTCCAAGTGGATGACTTACGTCTCTCTCCACATTTAAATCAGTTTTGTTTCTTATAAAACTCAGGGCTGTAACGAAACATCGCGTATTTGTGATAGTATACGTAATGACAAAGCCAGTGGCTCTTTCTCACTCTCAATCACCACGTGTAACTATCGACATTGGTTAGGTTTATCTCACTGTGAGAAGTATAGTCATACTGTATGTATTGCATGTCATAAAACAGAAATGTTGGAATTCATCAGATCTCTTCAATGACAGAACCAGAGGCAGTGGCGTAGCAAAACATTTTTAGGAGCGTATGCTTTCAAGAGAGGATCCAAGGGCGAAGCCCCGGTTAAGGGGGTCTAGGGGCGCAGTAAGGTTAAAAAAGTAGGGCAAATATATCTCAATGGAATTCGAGTGTATGTTTAAGCATACAAGCATACATTATTGCTACGCCTCTGAGAGGTACATATAAATATTTACGTCAAAAGTTTAATACTCATATATTAATTTCTACTCAGCGCACACAGTAATTTTAATGTATTTTACGAGTAGGAAATGAAAGGGTTTACAACCGTCTCGTGTGATTAAAATCAGAAAGGACGATTAAGACACGATTTTACAAGTTTTACTTTCATCCCAAATTTTATGCTGAGAACGAACCAATGTATTAAATAGTTATCAAAACATGTCAACAGAACTTGGTCCGATTTTCTCTGTGTATATGGTTAATTATTGCCTTAGAACTACCAGTACGCTTAAAGCATTCGACATTGTATTCGTGTGTTTGATGTTTCTGTATGAATTCAAAGTTCTATTGTTCATTAATGTCACAACAAGACCAATATGCTGTGACGTCATCTTTCCTTCACTTGATCACAAGTTCCAGTTGGACCTTTATCTTCTCTGAGAATGTTTATACTAAACAATTAAAAACACGAGAATAACGCGTACATTGAAACGTAATGTGAAAAGTGTATGAACTGTTGACGCTTGTGTAGAAGTGTAAATGGCAAGTCATCACAATATTTATCATCGAAAGGAAAATATCGTCTTAAGACATTATCTTACAATGATAGAGGAACGCCTTTTATTTACGACATATATTGTACACAGATATACCCAGTATAAACGATATATACAGATATTTCATTTTGAGATATGTCTGTTTATATCTGACAAATAACACTTACCATGGCTGACCCTAGGTGTAGTTTATATCTGACAAATAACACTTACCATGGCTGACCCTAGGTGTAGTTTATATCTGACAAATAACACTTACCATGGCTGACCCTAGGTGTAGTTTATATCTGACAAATAACACTTACCATGGCTGACCCTAGGTGTAGTTTATATATGACAAATAACACTTACCATGGCTGGTCCTAGGTGTAGTTTATATCTGACAAATAACACTTACCATGGCTGACCCTAGGTGTAGTTTATATCTGACAAATAACACTTACCATGGCTGACCCTAGGTGTAGTTTATATATGACAAATAACACTTACCATGGCTGACCCTA